CCCCAAGACCCCAAAACCCCAAAACCCCAAAACCCCAAAACCCCAGTGGGAATACTAGGAATAGAATTAATATACTCACTTAAAATTTCGAAATGGAGCTATTTTTAGATAAAAAGCAAGAAACTTCTAGGATTTACTCCTTACTTTTGTTGAAATAAAAATCTTGATAAGAGCCATCGCCTATACTAATGCCCCTATACTCCCTCTATCGGCTCATAAAGAGTCTAAGTAATCTACCAGTCATATTGTCTTAAGACTTAGATATAAGGTACGTACAAGTGCCAGTCAAGTTTGTAGCTTTAAGATACACTAATCAATAAAAATGTGAATTTTAATTTATTCTTCTTCTGCATTACTTTAGGAACAACCTTGACTTACGGGATCTGCATCCTGTTTAGTAAAGCCAAAGGGAAGGTACAGAGGCCAGGAAATCCCTTCTCTGGACTTGACCAAAAATTCATTAAGAGTTGCCCATTCTTGTGCAGAAATTTACTGTGTTTTTAACTTTGGAAATTTGTTAAAGAAATATTCATAACCAATTAAATTTTTTGTAAGGTTATATCTGTCGTATTATCCAGAATAGTCAAGTTCTTTGGCTTGTTTCGGAAAGGAGTCAGGCTTTTCCTAATCTTCTTGACAATCATCTTGCAATCAACTCTGTCCCTTCTGATTCTTCTTTTTGGAGCAAAGTTCTTTGGCTTAAATTGAGATGGCTTTTTGGATGGGAATGAAGGCTTAAGAGGTCTTTTATTGTTTGAAGCCGGCTTCTTTTTAATTCTATTTGTACTTATATCTCCCTTTAGAATGAACCATTGGTGAATTTTGGAAAGAGTTTGAGTGACTATTTACAAATCTCTACATAAACATTAACTTTAAGCGTACCATCAATGGGCTTTCTTCAGAAGCTGACATCCTGTATAGGGAATTTCTTGAATGGATTGTAGAGTTCCTAGAGATCAGGAGACTCTCTCGGTGTCAGTAAGACTCTTTGCGAAGGATCTTGGCTGACTCTTTTACTCTATTAAATCTCTCTCTATTTCATCTACCCTATATTGTAATATTGGTCACCACTTTTAAAATACTATTTCAGAATTTCTAGTAAAATATCAATGTAAGAATTTCTATATTTTACCAAGATTACTGATGTATTCGGACATTTTTAGACACATGATGCTTGGTTAGGTATAGAATTGACTCATATAGGTTTCCATGGAAGGTTTTAACAGAACTTTAGAATATTCATTCAAACATGTTGAGTTATAGAATAGAGGATTTTGAAAAGAATAGGAAAATAACCCCATTTGCTTATTGTTATAAAAACTTTATGACGCTAAAGGCATAAAATTCTTGACTAATTCCAACATCAAATTTGGATAATTTTTAGTAAAATAAGAGTTATCGGATAAGAGCAGAAAGGGGGTTAAATAAAATTCAAAATTTTTATTGTCTCCAAACTGATTTCACAACGCCCTCACCTTGGCTCTACTACTCAAGAAGTCCTTTTCTTTTAGCTAAAATTAACATGGCATCAAGTCAAAATGCGAATCTTGTTTCATAGAAAATTAATAAATCTGGGAGTAGGAATACTATTACACTAGGAATGCTTCTAAAACTTTTTCATCCATTCCAAAGGCTTCAAAACCCCCTTGACCTCGTCGAAGTCTTTATGAGGGTTTCCAACTTCGAAGAGTTTTATTATGAACTCAAAGAGTTGCTAATATAAAGGAAGAAATTGCCTAGTCAAATTCCAAAATAATCACCTTATTTTTGAACTGTCTTTTTGGAGCCACTTTCTCTTCTTCTTTTCCATGGAAGAAATGGATTGGCAGTCTAGACATTCTATAAGCCAATTATCCAATTATATACCGTGAAGTAGAATCTTTGGTAACAGGCTTAAAATCAGGGGTGTCCTGGGCACCTGGGCAGGCAGACCTCGGTCTCACTTCATTGAAACTCGGGATTTTTATAAAGTTAATTGGCATTCCTTTGAAAGTTGTTTTACCCTGACTGATGCTCTCAATCGACTTCGTAGGAGTCAGGAAATTTGTACTTGACAGCTTAGAATTCTTGGGCGTTTGAAATATTACCTCTTTGTTCACTTCTTTCATTAAATTGGGTTTAGGAAAAATAAACCGATTTTGCACAGCTTCACATCATCTCCTCTTATCAGGTGTCCTGACAACATTGAAGCCCTTGGGATACTGCACTTTATTTATAACTGCATTTTCGAAAGGAATGATCTAGTACGAGTTAAACTGAGTTTAATTATCACCAAAAACTCATAAAAATGTCTAAAAACTGTTACCTTGTCACTAGTCATCTTTCTCTTGATCATTCCTGGCATTCAGTGATTCTTTAAACTAAATATTTCTTTCTAAATAAGTCAAATCTTGTGAAATACATTTTGCTCTGAGCTTTGCATGCCTTATGTATTGCTTTTGTTCAACTTTGTTATTTTATATAATTAGATAATTTGAGTTGGGGTTTTGGGGTTTTGGGGTTTTGGGGTTTTGGGG